CCTAGTTGGCTCCACCGGTCTCTCAAGGTCAAAAGTCACTCGAGATATGTGAGACTGAGATGCTTGGGTTTTTCAGAACGGATGGGCTAGGACATCAACCCAAACGCCCCTCCCCCTTTTCTTTGGGGTTCAGAGTAGGGTCAGGCGGTGGATAGTGTTGGTGGTGACCAAGAACTGCGTGCCTAGAAGCAGGGGGAGGAGCTTGCACAAGATTTGGAGAGACTGAGTCACCTGCTGCCACCATCAATACAATGCAATTCAAGAATACCTATTGTGTCCCCATTGTGTACCAGGCACTGTGCTAGAGGTGAACAGGATTGACCCTGACCTTGACTCAAGGAAACACTCACTTCATCTTTACTTTACCTGCAGGCTAGTTGGTCATATGGGAAAAGGGAGAAGACCCCCACTATTGTCTGTCCACCCTTTCCAAAATAAGTAAATCCACAGCTGACCAGTAAGGACAGGGAGGATGTGTGCAACTCTGTGAAGGAACCTGGGAATGGTTCTCTCCTAAGAAGTTGCAGAGCCCTGCCCTCTCCCCCACATGGTGAAAGCTGGAGGTGAGTTGAAGCCTAGTTCAGCTGCCCAGTCACAGCTTGTCGGTGGGGCAGGTTCTTAGTGGATGGGTGGATGCTGGAAAGCCAAATCTACACCAAAAACTCATGTACAGATGGCTAGATCAGGCCATGGCAATTGACTCTCCAGTGTTCATTTTCTCCTTGATGGCCTGTCCTCAGACTGGGAATGGGAAGAATGGGACAGGAGGGGGTGGTGCATGAACCTTCTGATCAAAACTGCTGTCCCAGGTTATGTACCTGATGAGCAGCTCTGAACAGGGAGCCTCTTATGCATGCCCCCATTTCACCTCAAGGGTCAGTTTCCTGACCTAGAGCAGCCAGATTGCTTACATGATGAACCTGAGGATGTGTGTGCCTGTGTGTGTGAGAGAGAGGAGAGGGAAGGGCAAGGTCATCTTGGTGGTTAGCAAGAGGGCTTGGTCATTTCCCAGCATTCATGGAGATGGCTCCATTGGGGGACCCTTTTCTACCTTGATTGGAAGAAGCTGGCCAAGTGTCCAAGGCTTCTGACCTAGTTGCACCCTGGGTCTGCCTTCTGTGCCAAGCTCACTGTTAGCATGCAGGAGGGGAGAATGACCCTGCATATTTGGGGTCACCAGGTGTGGATGTCTCAAGCTCCAGCCCTGTGCCAGCTGAGCACCTGGGTCACAGTCACTGGGGATGGCTGAAGGGAGCATAATGCCCGTACACTCCATGGCCCCTGGGGATCACCCCAGAGAGGTCATGCTGAATTCCCTGGGGTGGGGTGGGGTACAGCCTCTGGGCAGAGCCCAGGGCAGTTATCAGAGTATGTGGGAGTGAGAAGTGAGTGCACTCATGGGTGCAGCAGAGCATTATTTTAAAGAGCCTAAACCTATATGCTCCTGAGGGAGGCCCCAAGGGACTGCCAGCTTGCTTCCCCTATACTGTCTTCCCCTCCACAGTGCACTGGGAGAGGGTAGCTGCTGGGTTGGGATTGAGTCAGAGGTGGTGGGGAGGAGGCAGGACGCTTTGGTGGGCTGGGTCTGGCCTGGGCTGTCCCCTGTTCTTTACCACCAGTTAAGCTTTTTCGTGCTGATCCAGGTGTGATAGAGTTTGGCCTTTCACTTGGGTCCTTTCTGGCACCTGTGAGGCGTACCTGCCTGGCTTTTGAAGAGAAGGATAGGTGAGGAGGTTGCCATTTCCTGGGTGAACTTTGGAGTTGCTTTAAAAAATGGGGAATATGAGGTTTGCCTTCAATCTGAGGTCCCAGGTCACCTATCCTTGGGATTGGGGTCCTGTCTCTCCCCCTAAATATGGGAGAGTGGAATATTAACCCAAGGCCAATGGAAATTTGGGTCCTGGTTCAAAGGAATGGAGGTGGGGACTGTGTTGGGCTCTGAGTGCCAGGCTCTTGTCTTGAGCGTGGGGAGGGGAGAGGTGAAGGTGGGTGCAGAGAAGGGGACTAGGGATGTCCCGGGCTGGGCCTGAGAAGGGCTCCATAACTGGAACTCAGCAGGTTTCTTTCCCAGTGTGTTCCTGTGGGAAGCTGGAGCAGAGAGCTGGTTTTCTTTGGGGCTGTAACTTAAGTCAGTGCTGGTTGGAAAGGCCTGGGAGAGCAAGGCCTCCACCAGTTGGAGTGGGCCTGCTCTGGCCCGGCAGCTCCCCTTCCTGAAGGGCAGGGGAGACAGACGCGGAAGAGGCCGGTGCTGACCTGTCCAGCTCCTGAGCTCTGGCTGCTGGGAAACCACTGAGTGCTTCCCCTCTCAGAGCACATCCCCCTCTACTTCCTCCTTTGCCTCTTTGTGGGGGGGAGGGGCTCAGAGCAGGCTCTGGCTCACTCAAGTTGTTGATTGGCTAAAGGGCCCTGAGCTCTAAGGTTTTCTGGGGCCCCGGAGCCTGACAGACAAGTGGGGGTTGATGCCCTCCTGCTGAGGGAGGTGGTTTGCCAACCTCATCCCTCAGCCCCACCCCTTGTGGGGTGGCCTGTTTGGGGCGTGTCCGTGCTGTCAGCTGGGTTAGTCTGCATTGTGGTGAATCGGGGCAGGAGGGAGGGCAGGTTGACCAGCCTGCTCCCTGGCCGGGGGCTGCAGCCGCTCCCCAGGGCCCTGGCCCAGCTCTGTAGCCAGGGGCCCCCAAATGGGGCAGGATGGCGATAGAGTGGGGCCTTTGGAGCAGGAGGGGCCGCTCCCCTTAACCCTGTTCCCAGCCAGCTGCTAAACAGGCCTCCCTTTCCTGCAAGGCTTTCTTTCAGCAGAGGTGCTGGACGATGGTGCAATGTTGCCTGAACTCGTTGCCTTGTTCAACCTCTATTAAAAAGGCCACGGCTTTCCTCTCTGCCTGCCTTGTACCTTTCTAGTTTATGCTGCTGGGGGAGGTGGGTGGCATTTGAGGGAAATGAGTTTCAGCATGACAAAGGACAGAGAAGGACCAGTTATGTTTTGTAGGGTCCCTGGGGGAACCAGAGGCATTGGGACATAGCCTAGGAGTCCCGAGTCCTGAGCCTGTTTTCCTCATGTGTGAGCTGAAGGTGATGTCCCTGCCCTACCTGTGGTGGGGGCTCTTGTGAGGACCCAGGTGTGTGTGTAGACACTGAGTGAGCATATGTTGGCACAGTAAGTGCCAGGCATCCACCCTGTGTTGAAGAGATCTGGCTGGGTCGACCCATTTTACCTGTGACTTGCTGTGGACCCTCAGCAAATCACTTTGCCTCTCTGAGCTAGTTTATCTCAATCTGTGAAATGAAGGTACTCCTTGCCTTCTTTTATATATATACATTATTGCTTTCAGAGAGGGAGAGGGAGAGAGAGATAGAAACATCTATGATGAGAATCACTGATAGGCTGCCTCCTGCACGACCCCCCCACTGAGATCAAGCCCACAACCCGGGCATGTGCCCTCACTGGAATCGAACCCCGGGACCCTTCAGTCTGCAGGCCGACGCTCTATCCACTGAGCCAAACGAGCCAGGGCGGTACTGCTTGCCTTCTATTGGTAAATACTGTTGAAGGTCTTGCCCAGAAGCTATGATCTGTCATGGATTGGCCTCTGCCCATCTCATCTATCGCCCTTTGCTCCTGACCCTTGCTCATCAACTGCCTAACCCTTCAACCTTCAAGTGGCTCCAGCATCCTCTCTGACAGCTCCCACTCCGCCAAGGCCTGTCTTCTCTCCTAGCCGGGATTATTATCCCGTTACTCGTCCCTTCCGCCACCCTCCATGCCTTGAACTCCCCAAAGGCAGGGACTGGGTCAGTTTCATTTTCTCATTGCTGTGCCACCAGCACTGAGCCCAGAGCCTAGCTGGGTATGGACGGATATTTGTGGCATCTCTGAGAAGGACCAAGGCACAAGGTCAGAGGATGGGGTGTGCTCTGCTGGTGAAGGACAGGTGAAGCTGGAGCCCAGGACTGTTGGTCCCGCTGAGACAATCCTTGTGTTCCCTCTGCGTAGAGGAGCAGGAGCGTCTTCGCTTGGAACGGGAACAGGAGCAGAAGAAGGCCAGCAGCCTGGCCAGGCTGGCCCATGCCCTGCCTGTGGAGGAACCCCGCATCGAGGCACCACCCCTGCCTCTGTCGCCACCAGCACCCCCACCAGCGCCC